CACCATTAATGCTGAAAGATATATCCAGGTTTTAGAGCAGCATATGCTCCCATCCAGATGATGCCTTTTTCATGGAAGGCCATGCATATTTCAGCAGGATAATGATGAACCACATAGTGCATCTGAGACAAATCTAAATTTGACATTCTTTTTGGCAATGCTCTATCATGCAACGTTCTATCATGGTAAAGCTCTGTCATGCAAAGAAGAAGCCATATCTGAACATGATCTAGAAACACTGCTGTCTTCTCTGAGCCAAAGCCCATTTAAAATGGTCTGTTGCAAAGTGGAAAACTGTTTTGTGGTCAGACAAATCTAAATTTGACATTCTTTTTGGCAACGCTCTATCATGCAACACTATATCATGGTAAAGTTCTATCATGCACAGAAGAAGCCATATTTGAACATGATCTAGAAATGCTGCTGTCTTATCTTTGCCAAAGTTCATTTAAAATGGTCTGTTGCAAAGTGGAAAACTGTTTTGTGGTTAGACAAATCTAAATTTGACATTCTTTTTGGCAACTATGGGCGCAGTCCTCCAGAATAAAGAGGAGAGGGACCTTCCGGCTTGTTATCAGCTCAGTTCAAAAGCCGGCATCTCTTATGGTATCGGGGTACATTAGCACATTTGTAATGGGCAGCTTGTACATCTGGAAAGGTACCATTAATGCTGAAAGATATATCCAGGTTTTAGAGCAGCATATGCTCCCATCCAGATGATGCTTTTTCAGGAAAGGCCATGTATATTTTAGCAGGATAATGCTGAACCACATAGTGCACCTGTGACAACAGCATGGCTTCGTAGTAGAATTGTCCAGGTGCTTAACTGGCCTGCCTGCCGTCCAGACCTTTCACTAATATTTGGTGCATTTTTAAAAGAAAAATAAAGCAAAGAAGATCCAGGACTGTTGGGTAATTAAAATCCTATATCAGGCAAGAATGGGACAACATTCCTCTCCCAAAACCCCAGCAACTGGTTCCCTCAATTTCCAGATGTTTACAGAGTGTTGGTAAAAGAAGAGTGGGTGCTACACCGTTCTAAACAGGGCCCCGTCCCAACTTTTTTGAGACATGTTGCTGCCATCAGTTTCAAAATGACTTTATTTTTTCTTAAAATGGTCTATTTTCTTAGCTTTCTAGTTTTTGTTGTGAATATAATAGGGGTTTATGAGATTTGCAAACCGTTTGCAATCTGTTTTTATGCAGATTTTACACAGCTCCCTGACTTTTTTTTTTTTTCGGAATTGGGGTTGTAGATAAGAGTAAACTATACCACAATCCCCCCTGGTATTTTCCCAATGTAGGTGACTTATCCCCATTTCTAGTAACAAAGCATAAAATGAACTTAGACAAGGGTAGACATGTTCTTTATAGCACCGTCATATATAATAAAGTTGACATATTCAATAATATTTCTGTATGATTTCACACCCTCTATTATAAACATTTCCATTATACATTTTTTTTTTCTTCTGCATTAAAATATAGCAAGCAATATAAAGTAAGAAAAGGTGATACAGACAAAAGATATAAAACCTTATGCACTTTGGTACAGGGCCCCGGTGCTCCCCCTGATGGCTAGGCCCCCTTCTATGGGTCCCTGGTCTATTTCATGTGGCCTCTTTCTTCCAGGTCTGTGGACCTTCCCTCTGGGCCCAGGAACCTTCCCGCTGATCCTCGGGCTCTTTACTCTCGTTGCAGGGCCTATTATAAGCCCCGGACACATAAAGTCAAATGACAAGTAAAAACACATTAATTTGAATGGGTGCCATTCAGGGGCGGACTAACAACTCATGGGCCCCCCCGGGCAATAGGTGATCATGGGCCCCCTGTGTCCTTGCCAGCACTCAAACCACACCCAAAAAAGCCTATGAAAGGTACCAGGGGCTTCTCAGGGGCATCTCAAGATCCCGGACCCTGGGGCAGTGCCCAAGTTCCCGAATGGTTAGTCCGCCCCTGGTGCATCTTAATCAATGAGACTCAAGTCACAGAAATGAAAATAAAAAAGGTCCCTGTGCTGCTTTTCTTCGACTTTGGTGCAATTTGAGTGCCTTAGATTGTAATGATGACAAAAGCCACAAGCAAGTTGCAAGGAAAGCACAAGCAAGTCGCACACAGTGTGAACCGAGACTTAAGGGCACCTTCCTGCTGTCTTGGGCCACCCACAGAGTTGGAACGCCAGGGCCCAGTCGCAAATGCAACCCCTGCAACCTTGGTAGTTCTGCCACTGCTTTGGGAAATGTTCCTTAACCGTTTCAATACCGTGCAATTTTACACCTTCCTGCCCAGGCCATTTTTCAGGTTTCAGCGCTCTCACACTTTGAATGACAATTGCGCGGTCATACAACATTGTACCCAAACTAAAATTTTATCATTTTCTTCACACAACTAGAGCTTTCTTTTGGTGGTATTTAATCACCGCTGGGGTTTTTATTTTTTGCTAAATTAACAAAAAAAAGACCAAAAATTTTGAAAAAAAAACACATTTTTCTTTGTTTCTGTTATAAAAGTTTACAAATAAATAATTGTTCTTCATAAATTTAGGACGAGATGTATTCTGCTACATGTCTTTGGTGAAAATAACCCAAATTAGGATGTATTATTTAGTTTGTAGGAAAGTTATAGAGTTCACAAACTATGGGATATATCTGAATATTGATCAATCCTGAAGTACTGACAGCCAATCTAATTTCTTGAGGTCCAAGAATGTCAGAATAGTACAGATATCCCCAAATGACCCCTTTTTGCTGAGTAGACAGTCCGACGTACTTCATAAGAGGCATGGCGAGTTTTTTTGAAGTTTTATTTTTTTGTCATAATTTTTCCGAAAATGAAAAAATGAAAAATATTATTTTCACTATTTTTTTTTTTACATACTGTCACCAGTGCAGTACAGCGTCATCATATAACTGGCATGGCGGTGTGAACAGGGACACTGACTGGTGACAGTATGAAAAAAAAAAAAAAATTATATTTTTTTTTTAATTTTTTTTTATTTTTTTTATTATATTTAATTTTTTATTACATTTTTTTTTATTTTTTTTAAGATTTTTTTTCATATTTTACTATGACCAAAATAGTACAATGTTACCATAGTAACATTGTACTACTTTGGGGAAGTGATCAGTATTTTTTTTTTTTTTTTTTTTTTACACAATTTGCTTATAGCAAAGAATTACTTTGCTATAAGCAAGCATTTAGCTGAATGAAATCGATTCATTCAGCTTTTTTTTTTTTTTTTTTTTTTTTGTGCTTAGCTGTGATTTGGTCACAGCTAATCACATGACATGTGCATGTGATTAGCTATGACCATTCACAGCTAGGCACTAGTATACAATGGATGGCATCATGAATGAAGCCATCCATTGTATACAACTGTCATGTGACCTGCTGTGATTGGTCGCGGCAGGTCACATGGTACCGGCAACGGGAGCCGGTACTCGGATCTGTCATCGGCCGTGTCCGAGGTGCACGGGCGGTGACAGATCCCGCTGCTGCGCGCCGCTCTGCAATAGCGCAAACGGCGCATGTGCGGGAGCACGCCAAATGGCGTGGACCCGGAAAGCTGCAGCGCTTTTCAAGCCGCCAAACGGCTATTGGCCGGGCGGCTAATGGTTAAGGCAGTGCCTATTTGCCCAAAAAATGCCCAGAACTGTGTCTTAACATTTGGCTTCCATTGACTTCAACGGGGTTCCTATTTGGCACCCGAACTTTAGCACTCTTTGCCAAACCCTGCTTGAACCGAACCCAAGTATATTTCAGATTCTGAAGAGGGTAATTGTATATTATCCTAAACGCAGAGTGGTGGGCACTTATCAGAATCTGCACAATCTCTCACGGATCACTAATTGTGTATTTGTGGCATTTCACGTATTGTAGTGGTTGTCTCACAGGATCACTAGTGAAGTTGTGTGTGGGCTTTCATTTCACCTGTTGATGCTCATTTATGATTATATTTATATCACTAGTGTGGTTGCATGATATCACTCATATTTATGTAAAAGATAATGCACTGTATTTAGTTTATTTTTTTGAGGTACGTTGGATTGAAGTGAAGAATTGGACATTGGATATTTTTTCACAGTTGGAAGATTGGAGAGTGGGGATTATAATCTTGGATTTTAATTTTGAATTCGGGACTCTATTATGGACATTATGTGATTGAGATTGGGGGATAGGATGCGTGGTTAATGAAGGTTTATAGAAAAGGTTTATGATATTTGCACTTTCAAGGGTGAAAGTTTTACTTTTCTTTGGGGAAGTACAGAGTTTACTTTGATTTAATTGTTGTAATACACCAGGGGATGGTGTAAGACTCAGGGGTATTGGGAGATTGGGATTTAATTATTTATTAATTTGATTTGATTGGGCGTACACATCAGGGGTGGTGATAGATACTGATTGTTTGATGGGGATTTTTATTTGATTTTTTAATTTATTTTTGATTTAATTTGATTTAATTTTATGTTGTTACTGAATCTATTGGGTACAACACACTAGGGGTGTGTGAGACTCTGGAGCTTGAATTGTGTGATTGGGATTTTGACTTATTCATTTTACTGAGTGTGGTAGATCACATAAGAAAATGGAAATATTTCATTTTATGGAAAATAGGAAGATTAATTTAGAGGAAGTTTTTTTCTGTCACACAATTAGGAATGGATGAAGATTTAGAATTTTTGGTAAAAAAGTAGGCCACCAAATGGAAAAAAAACTCCAACTCTGGTGGGATGTAGTGACTAGAGATAGCGAAGTATTCAAAAATTCGATTCGACTGATTCGGCGAATTCGTGGAAAAAATTTGATTCGAGTTGAATATATTCGCTGTGAATTTAACTTAAAAAAGGGTGTTTCTAGGCTTCAGAGAGACTTTATATTAGTGCAGAACACTGTACCTTTAATTTAAATGCCCTTGGAGTCTGCTGGGGAAGAGAAATATAATACTGTCAGTCAGTATGACATGCAGATGAGTGCCGTCGATCTTAGAATCACCGCACACTTCACTCATTTGGCCAGTCACGGGGCCAAAACCAGTGTTTGGAGCCACAGTGTGGCGGTGGAGGCAGCAGCAATGGGAGGCCATACAGCAACCTATGACAAAATGGAAACCAGCAGGAGTGTGAGGAGACCTGAAAGTGGCACATGGGCAGAGTGGGAGCAATGGGAGGCGGTACAGGGACCCATGACACACTGTGGACCCAGCAGCAGCGTGACCAGGCAGTACGGGGGCCCATGGCAGATTTGGGGCCTGGCAGCACCTATGGGAGGCCTGTAATCTGCCAGCAACCTGTGACAAAATGGAAACCAGCAGGAGTGTGAGGAGACCTGAAAGTGGCACATGGCAGAGTGGGAGCAATGGAAACAGCAGCAATGGGAGGCCGTACAGGGACCCATGACACACTGTGGACCCAGCAGCAGCGTGAGCAGTGGAGGCGGTACGGGGGCCCATGGCAGATTTGGGGGCCTGGCAGCACCTATGGGAGGCCTGTAATTTGCCAGCAACCTATGACAAAATGGAAACCAGCAGGAGTGTGAGGAGACCTGAAAGTGGCACATGGCAGAGTGGGAGCAATGGGAGGCGGTACAGGGACCCATGTCACACTGTGGACCCAACAGCAGCGTGACCAGGCGGTTACGGGGGCCCATGGCAGATTTGGGGCCTGGCAGCACCTATGGGAGGCCTGTAATCTGCCAGCAACCTATGACAAAATGGAAACCAGCAGGAGTGTGAGGAGACCTGAAAGTGGCACATGGCAGAGTGGGAGCAAGGGGAGGCGGTACAGGGGACCCATGTCACACTGTGGACCCAGCAGCAGCATGACCAGGCGGTACGGGGCCCATGGCAGATTTGGGGCCTGGCAGCACCTATGGGAGGCCTGTAATCTGCCAGCAACCTATGACACACAAAATGGAAACCAGCAGGAGTGTGAGGAGACCTGAAAGTGGCACATGGCAGAGTGGGAGCAATGGGAGGCCGTACAGGGACCCATGACACACTGTGGACCCAGCAGCAGCGTGACGAGGCGGTACGGGGGCCCATGGCAGATTTGGGGCCTGGCAGCACCTATGGGAGGCCTGTAATCTGCCAGCAACCTATGACAAAATGGAAAACAACAGGAGTGTGAGGAGACCTGAAAGTGGCACATGGCAGAGTGGGAGCAATGGGAGGCGGTACAGGGACCCATGACACACTGTGGACCCAGCAGCAGCGTGCGACCAGGCGGTACGGGGGCCCATGGCAGATTTGGGGCCTGGCAGCACCTATGGGAGGCCTGTAATCTGCCAGCAACCTATGACAAAATGGAAAACCAGCAGGAGTGTGAGGAGACCTGATAGTGGCACATGGCAGAGTGTGGCGTTGGAAGACAGCAGCAATGGGAGGGCGGTACAGGGACCCATGACACACTGTGGACCTGGCAGCAGCGTGAGGAGGCGGTACAGGGGGCCCATGGCAGATTAGGGGCCTGGCCGCAGCAATGTGAGGCACGTAATCTGCCAGCATCCTATGACAAAATGGAAAAACCAGCAGTGTGTGAGGAGACCTGAAAGTGGCACATGGCAGAGTGTGGCCTTGAGACAGCAGCAATGAGGAGGCGGTACAGGGACCCATGCAGACATGTGGCCTGGCCGCAGCAATGTGGAGCCGTAATCTGCCAGCCTATGACAAAATGGAACCCAGCAGCATTTGTGAGGAGACCTGACAAAAAAAAGTGGCACATGGCAGAGTGTGGCGTTGGAGACAGCAGCAATGGGAGGCGTACAGGGACCATGAGACACTGTGGACCTGGCAGCAGCGTGAGGAGGCGGTACAGGGGCCCATGGCAGATTAGGGGCCTGGCCGCAGCAATGTGAGGCCCGTAATCTGCCAGCATCCTATGACAAAATGGAACCAGCAGCAGTGTGAGGAGACCTGAAAGTGGCACATGGCAGAGTGTGGCGTTGGAGACAGCAGCAATGGGAGGCGGTACAGGGACCCATGACACACTGTGGACCTGGCAGCAGCGTGTGAGGAGGCGGTACAGGGGCCCATGGCAGATTAGGGGCCTGGCCGCAGCAATGTGAGCCCGTAATCTGCCAGCATCCTATGACAAAATGAAACACACCAGCAGTGTGAGGAGACCTGAAAGTGGCACATGGCATGGCATGACAGCACACTGTGGACCTTGCAGGACCCAGCACTGTGAGGCAGCAGCGTGCGGTACAGGGGCCCATGGCAGATTAGGGGCCTGGTAGCAGCAATGGGAGGCCCGTAATCTGCCAGCACCCTATGACAAAATGGAACACAGCAGCAGTGTGAGGAGACCTGAAAGTGGCACATGGCAGAGTGTGGCGATGGAGACAGCAGCAATGGGAGGCGTACAGGGACCCATGAGACACTGTGGACCTGCAGCAGCGTGAGGAGGCGGTACAGGGGCCCATGGCAGATTAGGGGCCTGGCCGCAGCAATGTGAGGCCCGTAATCTGCCAGCATCCTATGACAAAATGGAACCCAGCAGCAGTGTGAGGAGACCTGAAAGTGGCACATGGCAGAGTGTGGCGTTGGAGACAGCAGCAATGGGAGGCGGTACAGGGACCCATGAGACACTGTGGACCTGGCAGCAGCGTGAGGAGGCGGTACAGGGGCCCATGGCAGATTAGGGGCCTGGCCGCAGCAATGTGAGGCCGTAATCTGCCAGCATCCTATGACAAAATGGAACCCAGCAGCAGTGTGAGGAGACCTGAAAGTGGCACATGGCATGACACACTGTGGACCTGGCAGCAGCATGAGGAGGCGGTACGGGGGCCCATGGCAGATTAGGGGCCTGGCCAGCAACAATGGGAGGCGGTACAGGGACCCATGAGGACACTGTGGACCTGGCAGCAGCGTGAGGAGGCGGTACAGGGGCCCATGGCAGATTAGGGGCCTGGCAGCAGCTATGGGAGGCCGTAATCTGCCAGCACCCTATGACAAAATGGAACCCAGCAGCAGTGTGAGGAGACCTGAAAGTGGCACATGTTGGGGCATGATTCATGGCGGATTTAGTCAGTTGTGTCAGGAACTGGTGGTTTGAAATCCAGACTAATCCACGCCTGATTCATTTTCACAAACGTGAATCTCTCCACACTTTGGGTGGACAGTCGTGTCCTCCGCGGAGTTACAATACCTCCTGCCGCACTAAACACGCGCTCCGATGCCACGCTACTGGCCGGGCATGACAGCCTTTCAAGGGCAAATTCAGCTAGTTGGGGCCAAAGGTCAAGTTTCGTTGCCCAGTAGTCAAGGGGATTGTCTACCTCGGTTGGCAGGGTGCTGTCCAAGTAGGCCCAAGCCTGTTGTTTGAGGTCCTGCTCCAGGTCCACCTGATGCTGCTGCTGCTGCTGCGGCTGGTTAGTAGTTTCCTCACTGCGCTGGTGAAGAAAGCTACTCATCATCGACTGCAGACTGAGGCAGCCGCTGCTGGTGGAGCTGCCACTGCTCCTACCACCCCACCCCTCCCCTGCTGCCATGGCAGCGGAACGCGAGCGCACAGGGCCCACAGTGTCTGAGGATGGACGTTGGCGCAGAAAGGCAGAGACCAACTGACTACATAGGTGGTTTTTATAGTACGTAATTTTGGCCTCCCTCTCAGCAGGTGTGAAAAAGGCCACCATTTTTGAACGGTAGCGAGGGTCCAACAAGGTGGACAGCCAAAAGTCATCCCTCTGTCTGATGGTTATTATTCGGCTGTCGCTACGCAAGCAACCGAGCATGCTATGGGCCATTTGTGCCAAGGAATGCGAGGGACTCCCTGCCTCCATCTCCACAGCATACTGCCACGGTGCGTCTGGGTCCTCTGTCTTCTCCTCCTCCTCCTCTACCAGATGCTCCTGCTCCTCCACTCCTGTCCGCTGAGTGGAAAAAACCACCCATTTCACTCAATAATTCCTGAGCACAAATGTCCTCCTCTACCTCCTCCTCTTCTTCCTGTCCTGCCCCCACAGGGGTCATGTGGCGTTGAGATCTGTGCGCCACGTCTACCGCACCCTGACCAGCCATTGTTAACAGCATTTGTTCCAGGACGTGCAACAGAGGAATGACGTCGTTCATCCCATAGTCCTGCCGACTCACAAATAGCGCGGCCTCCTCAAAGGGCCTGAGCAAGAGGCAGGTGTCACGCATGAGCTGCCAATGGCTGACATCGAAGTTACACAGGGGAGTACCTTTATCCGCTTGTAACATCAGGAAATCGGTGATGGCCTTTCGCTGTTCGTAAAGGCGGTCTAACATGTGTAGGGTTGAATTCCACCTTGTTGCACACGTCGCAGATCAGGCAATGCTGTGGAATTCCGTTCTGCCGCTGCAGCTCAAGAGGGTGTGCTTTGCGGTGTAGGAATGGCTGAAATGCATGCAAAGTTTACGTGACATTTTAAGGATGTCTTGCAGTGGGATGGTGGATTTTAGGAACCGCTTGACAACCAGATTGAAACACGTGAGCCATGCATGGCGCATGGCACAACACTTCCTTGACGCAGAGCAGACACCATGTTCTTTCCGTCAACATGTCGGTCAACATGGTTCCGATTTTCAGTGTTTGCGCGGAGACGGAGACAGCCATCTGTCGATTTCTCTGTTCATTACACTCAGAAAGTTCCTCCCCTGTGTGACTACGTTCGCCAAGGCATACCAGGTGCCAGCACAGCGTGACACCGTTGCGCCCTGCACATGTGATATGCCGGTCGGGGTAATGGGACTTGGCACGGGGGGCGGATGATGGGGGTGGCGGCTGAGGACACGGCGGAAGAAAGAGGTGGTAGAGGCGGACATCTTTGCTGGACCAAGGACGTGCAAAACGTGGAGGCAAAAGCGGTGTGACCTGTCCAAGTTGTGGTGCGGCTGGAGTGTGCCGGCACCACGTTTCACCCAGTGGGCCGTAAATGACATGCTTACTGTCCCTGACCGTAGTTACAGCTCCACACACGTCGGCGCTGCCGTGCACTTTGGCAGAGACCGACATGCTCAAAGACTGGCCCACCATCTCTTCTACATGTGAATGGCAGGGCTGGCACTGCCTTTTTTTGGCGAAGAAAATGCCGGCTTGGGGGGGTGCTTGGGGGCACTCTCCACTCCGCGGCGCGGCACAAAGCCCATCATTTCTCGGAAAGGTGCTGAGTCCAACCACTTGGAAAGGGAGGGACTGCAGCACCAGCAACTTGGACAGCGAGGGACGTTTCAGCTTTTTGCACCGTCGGGTGCGTGCTCGCAAACTGTTGTCTCTTGGAAACGGATTCCAAGAAAGATGCTGACGGAATCCGTGAAGAGGGTAGCAGGAGAAGGAAACATCCCCGAAAAGAGCGGAAGATGCCAAAGAGCGAAAAAATCCCCTCAGCCCGAGGTGTTGGAGCCTTGACCCGGCTGTAGAGGGGGGTTTACGGAGCAAGTAACGGGAAAGGGGAAGGGGCGGGGAAGGGGGGGGGAAAAATACCCGGGCCCTAACTTTATAAAGGTTTTTCCCCCACCCCAAAAGGGGACGCTGGGATATGCTGACGCAAAGCGGGAGGGCCCAAAAGGGGCCCCCGGGGCCCCGCTTGAAATTTCTGGCCAAAATAGTCGCCCTTAAAGGGTAAGTTTTCTTCCCCCGGGCCCGGGGTTTACGAAAAATTGCCCCAACCCCCGGAGTAGGAAAAATTTGCCCCCCCACTCCTCACTGGCTGACGTACTTCCTCCGTCACACCGGCAACCATACCCGGCCGTGGGGGGGGAAACTGCATTTGGGGCTGGGGGGCTCTAATCCAAGGCCGTTTGCCCCCCACTGGGCACTGTGCGACCCCTGCTGCCCCCCCGGGCAACCCAAACCCACTGTTTGCTCGCTGCCAAGCTGGGCCCCCCTCTTCCCGATGATGCGGAAGAAATTGCCCTTTATGAGACGAGGTGCCAAATGCGATTTTAACCTCCTTCCCTC